TTTTTTTTTTCTTTATTTTCGTTTCTTCGTCAGAGATGTTCGTCAACCTCTGTCACAAGTACGTTTAAGTCTTTCTGTGTCCCTTGGAGCTGGACAGATTATCTTTCTTGTCGGGATAAACGCCACCAAAAACATGGTAAGCTGCATGTTCCCACATTCACTGACGAAATTGTTGTTTTTTTTTATTTCACAGCCGGGTAAAGTACTTCTGTGTTCTTTCTTTCTTTATTGCAGTCTGCCTGTATCACAGCAGCAGCTCTTATGCAGTATTTCCTGATGGCCGCTTTCTGTTGGATGCTGGTCGAGGGAATTTATCTCTACCTGTTTGTTGTAAAGGTGTACAATATCAACACCAAGATGCACATGTATCACGTCATGTCATGGGGTATTTATGAATATTTACCGCCTTATTTGGTGTATGATTCCCCGACATACACTGCATTCTTCTGTCTCTCTATTTGAAGGCCTTCCTATCGTCATGGTGGGTATTTCACTGGGCATCGCAACTGTAAAAGATGGACTCCAAAGCTACACTAGTGATAAATAGTAAGAAAATCATTAGCTTCTGCCAAACATTGTGGATGGTTAAAAAGAGATATCGTTTCATCGGATGGAATATTAATTTTCTTTCATTACTTTTTTTCTTTCCTTTTCTCCAGTTGCTGGTTGTCTTCGACTAATAAGCTGATCTGGATTTTTGTGACATTTGTGGCGTTTATCGAAACAGTAAGTTCATAACTCATATCATATGATGATTCGTATATTCGAGCTTTTTCTCTGTCACACATTCGTGAACAATTGACTCTCGTGTTTATTTTGATCGACGTCCATTTTCCGATATAAAGTTTCAGTTTTTTTAATTTTTTTTTTCAGCTGAACATTTTGATACTTGTACGAGTCATAAAGGAGATTACTACGCTTGTGGAACCATTAGCGGAAGACAACTACTGCAAGCAAATAAGGTATGTTTTGAAGTATGAAACACACACAAAAAAAAAATAAACAAAAAAACAAGGCATGACAACAACAACAACAAAACAAGCAAATGGAAGTTTGATAAATATATGTTTAAGTGAAACATGCAAGTAAATATACATGCATTCCTCCAAGCAATGCAAATTTGAAAATTGCGTTCTCGTTTTTCCAAATTTAAACGAGTTAGTTTAGTTCTCCGGCTTCTCTTTGCGGATCATTGAGGTTCGTGGAGAAACAAAATCCACTGTCTCCCCCACGATCGGCCTAATATCTTGGTATCACCTTGGTCTATGATACTCGCCTACTTCCTTTTTATACGGAATCTGTGGGTTATCTAGATTTAATAAATTAATGCGAACAAAATTAAGGAAGGACTAACTCCCATGCCATGTTGTAATTGTTCTCATCTTTTCGACTTGGCGTTAAAGCGGGTGTGGTGATGATTTCCCTGCTGGGTGTCACTTGGCTGTTTGGTTTTCTGTCACCATTGCACAAAGTTTTTACCTACATTTTTACCATCCTCAACTCTACGCAGGTTAGCGTTAATTTTGTGATTTATGAAATTTAATTCATCACACTAGAAAGTACTGGTGTACAAATCCCTCAGTTTTCATGGTTGTACATTTTAATTATTGCGAGATCGAATTGGTCCTAAAAAGGGATAAATAACAGGAGGAGAAGGGAGAAATCAGTAATTAATCTGTATTATCATTTATGGTACAGAATCTCCTGCCAGTTTTTATGTCATCTATTGTAACTGACAAACGTTTTAATAGCACTACTACATATGCCCCAAAGCTTGGGGGCAACTAACCCTTATTATCGAGAAACTGCACTAGGTTGCCGAGAATGCATAATTTTCCATCGCTTTAAAGGAGGCGGAGAGAACAACAGTGATCTACGCGAATTTTGAACTTTTCGATATTGCCAAGAAAACAAAGCGCGATAGAACTTTTTAATATAAGTTTTGGAGAAAGGTTTATCAAAAGAGTACTGTAGGATTAATAAAATGAATTACAAAATTCTGCAACTGTCAGCAGTTTCTCGATGTTTACAGTCAGTGGCTCTTAAATTATTTAAATTTGTTTTGATTTTATTGTTTTGTTTTCTTTTTCATAGAGGTGGCTTGACGTATGTTTGTCACCGTCCAGATTAGGATATTGCAGTTACTATCAAAACTATAAAAAACTCAGTTTTTCAATTCACAATCGCTAATTTCTTTTTAGCCTAACCTGGTTATACTAAAATATTTTGCGTTTTTAAATGCAGCATAATTTAAATTAAATTATCAAAGAAATTCTAAATCGCTCTCAACTCTTCATACTGTAAAAAAAAATTGAATATCTCAATACTAGCTACACAAGTCATGTTGCTCTATAGAAACCAGGACGCGAGTTTATACGAGGAATTTTTACAATGAATGCCATCAGCGACAGATCATCTCACGACAGGTTTATCTTTAGGTTATCTTTTAATTCGGCCTATTCGATCTATTTTTAAAACAAAAAAACAAAACAAACAAAAAAAAAATGGAGGTAACACATCAAGCCGAGCAAATGATCGTATTCAATGGGAAATATGTAAAATCCATCATGCAACAGTATAGCACTGAGGAAGCTTTGCGATGTTATGTTATATTTTCAGTCTCTCATTGAGTTTGGAATCTTATTATAGTTTAGCGCGTTGACCGACTCCTCTACGCCCCCTCCCTCCCCTCCCTTCATATTTTTCCTGATTCCCACGCCAACGAAGTTATTTGCATACGATGTAGACGTCAACAAATACAACTTTCTTTTTTTTTCCCATTTAAAAGATGGGACATTTGCAATAACTTTCGATAGGAAACATAAATCGCAAAAGACATCTACCTTTAAACATGATTCATTGGAACTATTTTCATTAACCGCGTAATCTATCAACCTTTTACTATCTGCGCTATTACAAAACGTGAGCGAATAAAGCTATTTTAGTACCTTGAGTTTTTTGTATTAAGAAACAAAACTTAATTTTAATTTTTTAATATTTTTTTTTTAATGAATTCGCAACGTATAGTTTCAAAATCATAAATCTAGATATAGTACAGATCAATTCAGTTTAACGTTTCCTCGCCGTTTCATTTATCGATAAAACTTTGGGGTGAAACCGGCTAGGTTGCATTTAAATATTTACCTTACTAATTAAAAATTTTCATTTCCTTTCGAGTCACTTATTTTGTGTAGATGTTGCATTGATAAAGACAGGCAATGATCCTAACTGGCGCACAATATTCCTGTTAATCATGTCTCTACAATGCCATTTAAACCACCTGACGTCAAGGGAACGCGCAAAAATTGACAGAGTAGTACACTGAAGAACAGGCAAAAATTCTGTCGGAAAGCGGAAAAACAAAGTAGTTGCACAGAACGATCCATATTATGGCTTTTTTCGTTTTTTAAGAAACAACTTTCTAAGAACATTAAACTTTTGTTTTGTTGGCCATAAAGAATGCTTTACGCCTGTGTGTCTTCTCATGTTTCACTCACATATTCCGCGGTTAGCATCTGCGAGCGCGTTCTTGGTTGTCAGAACCACGTTTTCTTCGCCAGGTTCTCGGGCTGAACCGCATTGTGGTATCTAAAACTGCCTCTTGTAAATGTTGCGCTCAGAGAGGAAGTTTGATTCAAAATTCTTCGTTGGAGTTGCATCGGGGCAAGAAGCATCTAGCCATATTCTGACATAAAAAATCAAGGCGTAGGGATTTTTTTCAAATATATTTATTAAATAACTGTTATGTATCGTAATATCAACGCAAAATTAGTTTGCAGTAAGTACATTTACAATGTTACGAGTTTGTACGAGCAATTTTTGTAATGAATGCTGTCAGCGACAGATCAACTCGTGACAGGTTTATCTTTACGTTATCTTTTTAACTTGCCTTTTGCGTCATTGAGTTTTCATTTTAATGAGATGTAAAATATTTCTTTCAATAGGACACTCGTATCCTGTAGAAATGAATGAATTACACCCCAAAGACGGAATGAAGAAAGAAAAAAAACTGGTATAGTACTATGTTTTTAATCGATCCCATGACAATAGTACGACATCAGTCGTCGAATTTAATTGTCCCATTTCTAGATGAATTCGCTCTGTAAAGTGAATATTTTCTGAATGGAAAAATCTTAAGATTTATGCTTATAATAAATTATTTCATCTCAATAGTTCTTCATCGTTCAATTGTGCCATAAATACAATATTGAGGCGAAATACCTCAGCTGCAACTACAAATTTCAGTTTTCGCTACCATTCAGTTCAATTCTTCGGATATGTTGTATAATCAGTGAAAATCAACTAAAATGAGAGCAATGTTCCCATTTGTAAAGCATACCTGTATATTTATTTGCAGTAAAAAATTAAACTTTCAAAAATACAATATTGAGGCGAAGTAGCTCAGTTGCATTCACAAATGACAGTTTTCAGTACCATCCAATTCAATTATTCGGAGATGTTTCATAATGAGTGAAAAACAACTAAAACAACAACTGCAACTACATAGATTAAACGAACCAATGCAGCTAAGGCTGGTAGTTCTTTACTGACTTCAACTGAAGACATAAAACCAAAACAAACGCAAAAATTACACTTAAGGCTCGATGCAAACATCTGTCGAGCGACGCTGCACAAAAACACATGAAATAAATTGGAAATAAACCTCAAAACAAAAACTTATCGAACTTGAGACATAAAACACATACACTTTTACCTTGTCCAACCTTAAGGATCGCGATAGCAAGACAAAGAAAGCACGCTAAACGAGCGTGAATCTACCAAAACTTGTGTGGAACTTACGACTACTCTAGTTCAAAAACGCACTGGTCAAGTGACTAAAAAGACGCGAAAAGTAACCGCGCGGGGACTGGACTGGCTACAGTCACAACAACAATTTTTCCATTTGTAAGGCATACCTGTATATTTGTCTGCAAAAAATATCCAACTTCGGTCCGATCGAGAAGCGAACATTTCTACCTCACGAGTAATTGTCCACTTCTAATTCTAACTGTTCATCGCGCGACCATATGACATTATTCAATGGGAAAGATGTATAATCCGTGAAATAACAGTATAGCACTGAGGAAGTTTTACGATGTTATGTTATATTTTCAGTCTGTCATAAGTTTTGGAATTTTCTTATAATTTAGCGTATTGACCGACTCCTCTACGCCCTCTCCCTCCCCTCCCTTCACGCTTATCCTGGTTCCAACGCCAACGAAGTTATTAGCATACGATGTAAACGTTAAAAACTACAACCGCAGCCTCATTTCTTTGATGGATGGATGGTATTGCTTTTTTTTTTTTTTTTTTTTTTTTTTTTTTTCCAGTTAACAATTAGGACACTTGCAATAGCTTTCGATAGGGAAAATACTAATTCGTAGAATACATCTACCTTTAAACATGATTCCTGAACTATAGTCATTAGCTGCGTATTTTATCAACCTTTTAATATCCGCGTTATTACAAAATGTAAACGAATTAAAGCTATTTCAGTATCTTCAATAACTTGTTTTAATGAAGCCAACCCTTGCTCCACATCTGGTGGAAATAACCTGTAGCCTCATTGGTCCGTTTATAAAGAAAAGAAAATAATTCTGGCTTATGTCAGTAAGAAGCGATCGATTATTGTTTTGTCCATTACACACTATCTCCTTTAAAACGTTAGACAATCTGCTGCACTTGGGTTGTTATCAAGTCAAGAGGTATACAACATGAACATATCGGCCTCTACTAGAAGCAACTTCTGCATATCATCAGCTTGATGAAGTGGGCTTCAATCCAGTAAAATGTTCACAGCACTGTCAATACATTGTGCCCTGAGTAAGTACAGACTCTATTTTATCCAGTGGTTATGCTCTAGAACTATAAGGGAGGTAGTGAACGGTTAGGTTAAGATATCTCGGTCTTGGAACATCCTGTAGCCCCAACCGAAATCCAACTGGAAAGAAGATTCTATCGG